AAAAGCCAGCATCAAAAAGATAAGGTAAGGGCGCCTGGCTGGTCAGTCAATGGAGCATGTGACTCTTGATCTTGGGGTTGTGAGTTCAAGCCCCACATTGAGTATAGAGATACCTTAAAAATAAAACCTTAAAAAAAAAAAGAAGATAAGGCAGGGGCGCCTGGGTGGCTCAGTCGGCTAAGCATCTGCCTTAGGTTCAGGTCATGATCTCAGAGTCCTGGGATCGAGCCCCATGTGAGCCCCGCATGGGGCTCCCTGCTCAGCAGGGAGTCAGCTTCTCCCTCTCCTTCTACCCCTCCCCCTGCTTGTGCTCTCTCTCCCTCTCTCCTGCTCTCACACACTCTCTCTCAAATAAATAAATAAAATCTTTTTTTTTTTTAAAGATAAGTCAAATGGAAAGCCAGCTAAGTGAAAAGATATAACTCTCTTACCTCTACAATTACCAATAGAAAATTAGCCTAACAGATATTTATTAAACAGAAGAAGAATCTCATAACATGTTGTCATTGTACTTAACAAATATACATTAGTTACCTCTATGAGCTTAATGTAATACTTGGAACTTCCTGATAATTCGGTTCAGTCCTCAAACCTCACAAAATTGGTTTTATCCTTGTTACACAAATTAGGAAAATGGAGGTTATTTCCTGAGGTTGGCTGCCCTGCTTTGCCCTGATACTGCCCCAGCCCTCACTCAACCCCTACCCATCATCTATGTTGCTGGTTTTTCAATTCTCCTAAAGGAGAGCTGCTCCTTCCCTGCTAAATAACATTCAGTGGCTCACCATTGTCCATCAAATAAAGTCAAAGTTTTTGTGCATGTTCAAGATCTGTTCTCTTGTCCCTCCTCACTCTAACCTTTCCATATTTAATCTCTCTCATTGCTCCATAATTCTGACACTTAAATCAAACCAAAGCTATTCTACACACTTTTCATGGAGCTACCTCTCCCCACAGATTACTGTTTATCCCAACTTCTCCTGTCAAAATATTTCCAGACTTTGAAGCCTAGTTCAGATGACATCTCCTTTGTGAAGCTGTCTCTGATTTCTCAATTGCCATAGCACTTTACTACATTAGGGATAAAAATTAACAGCCCACATAACAGAAGTCCCAGCTGAGCCTACAGGGAATGTAAACTTCCCTGGACCTGTCTGATGAGTGGGCGGACTCCCCAGAAGTAAAATTTGCATGACTCAACTGCAGGGGAGACAAGGGGTCTGAGATGAAGATGTACTAACAGGTTCCCAGGGGTTGAGCATGGGAAATGAAAAACAGCATGACGTCTCTCTCCCAGACTGGGCCCAGACTCGCTGGTGTCTGGACCCTGTGGAGCAAGGAGGTACTGGGCAAAAGTTAAAGGACCCATTTTCACAATCTTTGGAGACATGGGGGCACAAGAAATTTTGGATTCATTTGCAATCCAGAGTGTGACATCAGGACAGAATGAGAGGTGTTTTTCCTCGCTTACCAATGAACACTGTCCGGCGTTGATACGTCATATGCTCCAGCATCCTAGCTGCAGCGGGAGCCCGTAGAGCTGAACAGAGCAGCAGGAAACCATGTGGGAGGGGACTAGTTCATAAGTTCATGTGAACTCCCAGAATCCTATAGAATCCCCAGAAATACTTGAAGAACGCTTTACAGATGGCCAAGACCCCGTGTAAGTAGCTTGGGGGGCGAAAGTCTATAGAATTTGATTATTGTTGATTTAATTTCATTTATGTGCACAGACAGATGAGGCCTGAAAAAAAACCTGGTTATGCCCACATTCACTTACGACTTGAAACGGTTTAAAACTTACCCCATGTAAGTATCTGATTCCATGCTCATAACCATGTGAGGTGGATATTATTATCACTAGATGTTCCCCATTGCTGTGACTTTGAGCACAGTGTCTACCATGGGAAGAGTCTAGGATTGGTTGCCAGCAGACCTAAATTGGAGCTCTTGCTCTTCTACATGTGGCTGGGTGATCCTGGAGCAACCCAACCCCTCTAAGCGTCCCTGTCTTTCCTGCAGGACAGGAATAACAATCCCTTTTGCATGGGGGTGCACTGAAACTCTGAGATGATGAGCAACTTCTGTGCAATCATAAGAAAGAATTATGGCACTTGACTTTCTACTTTCTTGTTTCGCCGTATATCAGCTGTTCCCCATACATGTCTTCCTAGACTAAAAAGAACGAAAACAGCCTATTCATGCCTCACACACCTCCACATCATCTCGTCCTGCACAGAGCAGGAGTACCTCCAGGGTGCTGAATTTTCCATCTCTAGGAAGAGTGCAGCAGAGGATTCGAACTTCACAATGGCTTGGACCAGACCCCAATCTGGAGAGCCTCAGATTATTCTTCAATTAATCAGGTATACAAGAGATACCAATACAATAGGTCAAGGGTCCCAGGAACGCAGTGCATGGTTAAGACAGAACATTAGCCACTAAAACAGAGCAGGGTTGGAAACCTTTTTCTGTAAAGAGCCAGATAGTAAACATTTTAGGCACACATTCTCCATGGCAACTACTCACCTCTGCTGTTTTATGAAGACAGCAGCCTGAGGTAATATGCGGGCAAATGGAATGGCTGTGTTCCAACAATTCATATTTTAAAAAACAGGTGGCGGGCTGTGCTTGGCCTGTGGGCCATAGGTAGCCAACTCCCGAGACAGGTTTGTTCAGTTGCCAAGGAGGACTGAAAACCCAAGACGCTGAAAGGAAAACCAGGTGCTGACACAGAATGGAAAAGTTTAAATCGGTGAATAAAAGTGAAGTTCTCCACTAAGTGTTAGAGAGTAAAACGGGACAAGCACAGCATTGGAAAGAGAAGAGGTTTCACGGGAAACGTCGACCGACTTGGGTGAACACAAATTTTATTCAGTTCAAAAAAGAGAAAAGACGACTTTGGGGTTTAGCTGCCTAAAAATTCACGACAGGCCAAATAGCACAAAACGGCTTCTTAGGATGCCTAGCGTGCTGAGAGCCCAGCAGCCAGAAGGGACAAGCTGATGACCCCAGGGGAATGGAACTGCATCCGGCTGGGTCCCCACTGGATCCCTCACACCAATCCCGGGGCTGGGCACGAGGTGTTCCCTGGGGAGTAATCTAATCGTTCCCAAGCTCGGCTCTGGGCGACGCACTTGGACATTTCAGTGTCTGCTCTGTGCCATGTCTGGGCCGGATTCAAACGGGAAGAAGTGGCCGGTGAGCTCTGAGCTAAAAGGCCAGACCCAGGTGAGGAGAGAGGGACGGGGTCAGGGGAAAGCGGACCCCAGGCAGGGGGCAGCACCAGAATCCACTCTGATTATCTGACGGGGCTCGATTCTGCTCCCTTTCCCTTTAAAATCCTAATTAAAATACAGGTTTGGGCGGGGGGGAAAGGCAGGGGACATCATACTTTCTAACAAGTCTTACCTTTAGCTTTGTTTTCTGAAAAATATGCCACCCTACCTGAGAAGAGACTAATATGTTGACACATTTAAGGAAACACTTGGGATATTTTAAATGAGCCTATAAAGGGAGATGAGCGGAAGGGACCTATAGCTCTACACTGGGAGTTCTCATAGCCACCGATGCTCCCCCTGTAAAGGAACTAATTATGTTTGGAGAGATGTGTGTGCTTGATAAAATAATTAAAAATAAATTGCTCTCCTTGGAAATGCAAATTAGCAAGTGCTAAAGCAACCCTGTTGGTCACATAGATAACAAATAGATGCATCTTCTCAAGTCTGTTAGGTGGTACTGATTGATTTCCAATTCTGGCTACAACAGGGCCCGAGCAGCTTTTGAAACAAAGATGAGGAGGCCTCAGGCCCAGTGGGAACACTTGTTATATCCTCGGGGACAGTTGTTGAAAGCCTTAAACCATGACACTCCCCAAACATCCCCCTCCCTCAACCGTTCCTGGCTGAGAACAGGGGACCCTGAGGAACCAGACTTGACCCACTGCTTCCCCTGAGCTCCTAGCCCCTGCTGGGGGAGGACAGGACAGGGGCACTGTTCCTCCTCCTCCCCCAAAGAACCACCACAATGCCCTGTGCTACTACCTCATGCTGTCAGGTCAAAGAAAATAAAGCATTGGCTCAGAGCCAGGACCCAGATGGATCTTTTGGCGTGGGGAGGAAGGGGAGGTATGAGGCCTTGGGGGCTGATTAGAGCACTGTTTTAAAAAAAAAAAAAAAAAAAGTTCTCCCTTAGCAATGATCTAATGCTAATAGAGAAAAGAAAGAGAAAGGAAAAAAGGAAGGAAGGAAGGAAGGAAGGAAGGAAGGAAGGAAGGAAAAGGGAAACGTAAAGGTAAAGAAAAAAAGAAAGAAACTCAGACTACAAAATGCTTTACAATTTCATCAAAGGGCCAAAATGGATCAGGCACCCTCTATGCAGAGCTCGTTCTTGAGTAGCATTTATAGATGGGATGAGGGAAAGATGGGATTTCTACTTTGAAGGAAGTCATGCTCACGTTGGGAGGCAGATCGAATGTGAACGAAGAGCATATCCCCAACATCTTTTTGCCTTGCTGACATCAGGCCCCTTCCTACACCTCTTATCTGGGAGCAAAAGATGAAGCTAGAGCCAGTGTGACTGGACCACTCGGAGTGCTCTCCCGGGAGTCAGTGACATAAGGGAGGAGAGAGTAGAGGGCATTCTGACCCTGGGCTTCGCCATCCAATCTCACCGAATACCCAAGACGCTGTGTGAGGGAGGTTCTCTCCTTACAGACAGGGACCCTGAACCTCTGTGAGGTACAGCCAGTGAAAAACAGGGTAAATCATCTAGCTCCTGGGAAGTTGCAAGGGGTAGATGAGGGTAATACAACGAAGAAACACTTAGCATTGTGGGGCCCCACAGAGGCGCTCAATAAATATTCCCTCTGATTCCTAGGTAACTTGCCTAAGGCCACAGACTCCAGGAAGGACGGGATCAGGATTGATTCACATTCACATGCCGCTCAGTCTGATTCCAAAGCCCGCGCTTTCCCCAGGGCTGCTGGAAGCTCTCCGGATTCAATGGTCTTCCTCTTCCTCTTCCCTCCGGTTTGTTGTCCAGTCACCAGTCCCTTTCAAGTTCACCCAGAGAGCCTTTTCATTCTGTGCTTTTAGACTCAGTGCTGACAACTTCCTGGCCTTGTGGTACCAGCAGAGGAGGGAAATGGACAGAAGAATCAACAGAATGCAGGGGAAGACCAATAGAAAATAGAGTAAAGATGTTGATGAGCAGATCCTGGAAGGAAATGTGGGCTCTGCAATGAAAAGGAGAACAATAAAGAAGATAATCAGTCTCCAACTTACCTGCACGAATCAACGATAAACCCGTGCGGGATTTACTGTTACAGGCAAATACAGGTAAAAACCACGGGGCCAAAGAGCAGTGGGCCCTTTAAATCACATGTGGGCAGGAAAAGGGGGCAGCGGTGGGGAGAAGTCAAGTCCAGGATGGTGCTTTTCCAGCCTCGCTGCCTTCACCCAGCAAGTTCCAACCACTGGGATTCCAATGACCTACTTAAAACCAACAGCCGCGAAGAAAAACAAAACAAAAAAGAAAACCTCTCCTTTAATCTTCTAGCCTCAGAAAAGAGATCTATAATTCAGCCCTCGTTCTCAACTCTGTAGCCGGTCCTGAATTTTTAACGGAGTTATTCCCACTGTGGCTTCTTACGTGCGCGTGCGCACCCTCCCACAGCGCGCTGTCCTGACACGACAGCCCCCACAGTGAGCAGCTCCAGCCCTTCCTGATTGTCCAGATGGGTCTCCCCGGGGCCCCCTCCTTTGAGCTCCTTTCCTGTGTTGCTCTCACTATTGCCTCCATCCGGCACACTCTCTGCACCACCCTAATCCTCCAGGTCCTTCTGACGCAGCTCAGATGACCCGCTTCTTCCCCGGGGTCATCCTACCTGCCTCCGGGCACAGTCCTCCCGGATCCTCTTCTCACACACCCCTTGGTGTAGACCTCTTTTGCTCCCTCTTAACCATCTCCTTGGTTTCATCGCAGTTACTTGAGTATACCTCATAGTGTCATTTGTTTCCATGTCCCCTGCAGTGCCCCCGCACATGTGTGTGACAACTGTGGCTGATCTGAATGGAATTGGACTGACTGCAACCACATGGGCAGAGGATACTATATAAAGGCAGGCTGAAGCACATGACTGCGGGGCAGCTGCAGCCCGTGGGGAAGCACCATCAGCCACGCAGACATGCAGAGCACGCACACGCTGCCCCAAAGTGGTTCTCCGCCACGTGCACAGGGAGGCAAAGGGACAGGACTGCAAACACCCCAGATTCCAGGAAGCAGCGCCCAGAGTCACTAGTCAAAGGACCGGCCTTATAGACTCTCCATGCAGAAAGACACACGCTTAGAGAGACACCAACTACTAAATGTAGTCTTCCAACTACATGTATTTATGACAGGATATTTGAAACCAGGGCTCTTCTGAAAAATCGGATGCTAATAGTAGCTGTGCTTTTATTGGAAAATTGTAATGACACCAGCAATTTCTTCTTCAAAGGTGAAGTTACAGGATTCATGGGATTATAGACTCTTAGAGATGTAAACAGCTTTAGAGGTCATTTCTACCAACCTCTGCTGCAAGAATTCTGTTTTTGGCATTGCTGGTGCATCTTGCACCTTGAAGAACGTCTCTTTGCTGGAAGTCAAGAAAGAATCTGAACATTTGTCCAACTCCTGCATTGTGAACTCCTGAAGGACTGGGCCTATGTCTTACGCATCTTTTTATCTCGTCCAGCACTTGGTCCATGGGTCATCAATGGAAACTGATGAATGAATTAATTGCATGAGTAAATTACACCCACAGGAACCCAGGGGTGGCTGCCATCATGTTGCACAGAGTAAAGATCATCACTGAACATTAGGCTGGCAGCTCTCAGGACTCACAAATTGCTACAGGGGTTTGTGGCCTGGATTTTCTCTGGTCTCATTTATATTCTCCAGCCTAGATTTGGTTTTTGTTTTTGAAAGGGTGGGCAATGATAAAGCTAGACTTTTAATTCTTTATCACCCCCTCTCTCCATATCCTACCTGACCCCTTTCTCCAAGGCCCTGCTTGACTACAATAATTCTCCCAGCTCTTATCTGAACATATCTGAAGGCATGTGGATAAGGAGAAGGTAGAGATGGAGATGCTGAAAGAGAATGGAGCCATAGGGAACAGTGGGTAGAAGTCCTGGCTTTGACACTTCACACTACTCAGACACAGGGTAGTGATTGACTACCATCTCCAAGAGAGCTGGGTTCACATTCTGGCTCTTTAACTTACTGTTACCGACATTAGACAATTACTTATCCTCAATAATGATTAGTTTCCTCATTGATCAAATGGGGATAATTTCTAGAGGTGTGATGAGATAATGCACAATAAAGTATTTAACAGAGTGCCCAGTGCATTTGTTGAGTCAGCAAGAAATAAATATTAGTTGGAATGCTAGTGAGAACGTTAGGAAAAATCATAGGCAACTTTCTCTCAAGAGATGGGACAGAAAATAGGGCTGGACCAACTGATTCCCCACACAGGGGCCACACGCTTGGCCATGTTCTTCCACAGGCCAAGACTCTCCCTTAAATCTCTGGTCCCTCTGTCTCCACTACTGGGTGACAATCCACTGGGAGTCTAATGACTACTTATTAGGATACTCTGACTTCCCTTCCCAGTCATGGGTGGCAGAGAATTGGAAGGTGAGAGTCCACCTCGGTCTCACCATTGTTAGATGATGGTGTGATCATGAGGAGATGGGGCTGGCACATAGAAGGGGGAAAGAAATCTGGTACTTGGCTTTTTTGCCACTGAGACTCTAACCTTCAGCATGAAAGGACTGCCAGAGGGCTTGACTATCTTAATGGGGAGGAGGCTGCTCTGTTTGGAGCAATCTGCCATCAAAGGATTCACAGTGCCGAATTGGCCAACAACTAGCAACTCTCAGCTCCAGTGCTTCTAAATTACCTCTCCTGGGAGGTCAGTGTTTGCTCTAGATCCCACGATCACCATTTCCCACCATCTGCCTCTCACCCATATCTGGATTAGAATTAGTGACATTCAAAACCATTAAGGTTTGGCATTTTGAATCAATCCGAGTAAGTGCCCGATGCTCAAAGTACAAGGTCTACAAGACAGAGCCAAAAATGTAATGAGAACACTTCATCACGAGGTTTAGTTTATAATGCGCTTCCACCCACAGCCAAACACGCCACGAGGAGCATTCCTTTTTGATATCACCTCATAAATACTGACTTCAGTGGAAGAAAGATACAAGATAACAAGGGGGGCTACCAACTCCTCCCCCACCCCCACCAAAACTTTGGCAACTGACTGTGCCAAGTGTGGCCACGTGAGAGAGTTGGCTCCTGCCAAGCAATAAAAGTAGGGTTAAGGAACCTGATACGAGTACATCCCAGAATGAGGGATGCCTGATAGCATCCTGTTTCATTTGAAGACTCAAGCTTGCTCATTCTTTCATCAAGCATTTGTTGACTACTATGTGCCGGAGACTTTGTTGGAGGTACTGGGGTAGCATAGTTAAATTCTATGGTCTCTCCAGAAACTTCAGTGTGGTAGGGGCACATGTCTCCTTTGAAGGCTCGCTCTCTAAGTATATCCTTCCCCAAAAAGAAGTTGGGGAGTAGTAATAAACACCATACAATTACAACTAATCCAGTCCCCAGGAAGCCATACAGTCTTGCCTATTAATTAATCACAGCGAATTCTCTAGAATAAGACATTTATGTCCGGGCTCTGAGGGTGAGCTAAAAAGACGACGGTATCCCTAGCCCCTACCTTGGCGTAGTCATAGATAAGGAAGTACGATGGAGAAGAAGATGCAAGGTCCATTCCCTCAGGGAAATTCCTCATAATTTTTCTGCCTTCATTTGAACCACAGGCTCCACAGTTTTATTAGGTAGTCCTAAACTAACCCAACCTGAAATTGCCACATAGGGGTGATGGAAAACCACTGGAGAAGTGAGAATTGCTAGCATGTTATATCTGATCTGGACTTTATTAATACATAGAGCAGGTCCTTATGAGGAGTGTGATTATGCTGTGACTCCATAAATCCTTGAGCATCTCTATGTGCCAGGTACTGTGCTGTGCTGGGAATGAGACACTCAGTCTTTGCCTGCTCAGAATGTACAGTCTGGCAGTGCTTATGGATGTTAGACAAGTGTAATGACTAAGAGAATAAGGTAAGTCACTGAGAAGGTGGCGGTTAAGTTGGGAGGTGAAGGATTCATAGATGTTGATCAGAGAAAGATGACATGGAAGAGCATTCCAAACAGGAGGTGGTCTATGTTGACGCAAGGTGTTGGACTGCTGGTCTACCCTCTTCTAATCTTCCCCTTCATCCTCGCCACTGCCTCTTTCCCCTCCGGAATGTAAATGTGCTCAAGTCCCTACCACCTCCAAACCAAAACAGAACAAAGTAAAACTGACTGACACCTCTCGCCACTTGTTATTTTCTCTCTTGTCTTTACCTCAAAGCTCTTGAAAGCATAATCTGTATTTGCTGTGTCCACTTCCTCACTGTGGTCTGACTTTCTTCATTACTTGTCTGCAATTGCCCAACAGTGTGAAATCCAATGGATATTTTCCGATTCTTATTTTAATTGACCTCTTTGCAGTAGTTGGGTCTGTGGCTTTCCCTTCCTTCTTGATACCTTCTCTGCTTTTGGTTTCTATGATACCACCAAACCCTGGTTTTCTTCCTACCTCTTGGCTACTCCTTTCATTCTCCTTCACAGGCTCCTCTTCTGCACTCCCCTGATCAACAGTGATATATCTCAGGAGTCCATCGTTGGGCACCATTATTGGCTATAAGTTGATGCCTTCTAATCTACAACTCTGGCAAAGATCTCACTTGGAAGTCCCTATGTCTGTTGGGTAGATCTCTTTGGATAATTCACACATACTCCAAACTCAATTCCAGCCCAGCTTATTCAAAATTGAACTAAATTCCGCATTCAGACCTTTCTCCTATATCCACCCATGCTAGAAATTTGATATTCATCTTTGATTCTCCACTTCTGCTCACGCACCCTCCACGTATATCTAATCAGTGTCTAACTCCTGAAGATGACACCTCCTAACACTGAATTCCCACCCTTCTCTCAGCCCTCATGTGCACTGCCTTAATTCAGGCCTTCATCTTGTCTTACCTGGGTTCCTACTCTCAATTTCAGATAGTTCTCCCTACTCTGTGTCTGCCTCCCTTCCAGTTCATCTTTAACACAGCTCCCAATGGGGGCTTTCTAAAATGCAAATCTCATGATGTCCCTCCCCTGCCTGAACTTGTTTGCTGACACTCCATAATGTTCATGAATAAGTTCACCACCCCCTTTGAGATCTGTACCCTCCCCATCTCACTAACTTCATCTCTTGCCCTTGCGCCACAGCTTTTATGATCATCTTACATAGTCTTCCCTTTTCCTAAAATATGTTCTCTTCCTTTTCATAGGCTGCATACCCTGGGGAACTGCCCAGATCTCCTTCCCACCCAGCCCTGCCTCTGTTCCTTCATCCGAGGCTACTTCTTTGATGACCCCTATCATTTTGGACTTCATGTCCCCCATCAGAATCTGAGCTCTTTGGGAAAAGACTCTGTAATGCATGTTTTTGTGTCCTCAGATCCTCACATAGTTACTTACTGAACAACTTAAAATACTTTGTCACATATACGGATATACCCACGTGTGTGTGTGTGTGTGTGTGTGTGTGTGTAACATGTTTGGAGGCATAATGGAAAAGAGAGTTAACATTTCTTGTGCACTTACAATATTCCAGGGACTATGTTAGATAATTTATACACATTTGTATAATGATCCTCACTTTATGAGTAAGCTGAGGTTCACAGAGGTTAAATAACAGGGTATGATTTCATAGCTCGTAGGTAGGTGACAGGGCTGTGATTTGAGCCTAGGCTTGTCTGATTCCAAACCCTGGAATTTTTCATCCCCCCCACTGCCTCTGCAACTCTGCAACTACCAGAAAGGAACAGTCAGGTAGAGGAAGCAAGATGCTATAATTGAGGATTTACTTGGGAACCCTTAACTGTGTTAATAATGAAAACCCTCAGCTTATCATGGCACAGGCTTTCAAGCTTCTTCGACTGTAAAGAATACAAAGATCACCCAATTTTTAATATTTTCTTTCCAGAGTTCATCTTTTTTAAAACCTTTCACCTGATTTATAAGGATTCCACAAAGATTAACAGTACATATATGCTGTGAAGGATCTCATCTTTCTCAGAGGAAATGTGCTTTTTAGTCACAGAATAGATACTTTTTACACTTGTTATCTATTTATTCTGCTACCAAAAAGCTCCTGATGCTACAGGGCCTGGGAATTCCAGTGAGAAAACATGTATGGAATGTGCTCAGGGTTGTGGGACTTCCCATAATGATTGGAATAGAAGAAAAGCTGATAGGAAGAAAAATTCTCTCTGAACACTTGGGAGAAAATTTCTGATGAAGAATGGTCAGGGGAAGAAGATGATAGAGCCCCAGGGAACACATCAGATAACTCTGGCTTCCATTCTAGAAGCCTGGTCAGGGCTGGGATGCAACTAACCCTACTTCAGAGAAGTTGCCACCATTCTGGGCAGTACTCTTTCTCCCCCGCTAAGGAGCGTCACCAAAGCTAGCTGGTGTTTTAGGAATGTTATCTTTCATTGATCCATCTTACCCTTCCTGGTGTGGGGCACCGAGACCACATCTCTGCGTCTTCAGTGTCCCTTTCCCAGTTCAGTTTATAGCTCAACCTCTCACCCTCACCTTAAACCTCACCAGAAAGGAGCAGCTCAGCGATGAGCTGGCTACATCAGCCAGCGCACTGATCACCAGGGAAGATTTACGGGTCTGGCTGGAGAAATTACTGCTTTCATTAACAAATGCTTCATGAATGCCTATTACATGCTTGGCACTGGATTGGCTGGAACGATGCTCCTCTCCTTCACAACCACCTGTTCCACATCCCTCCTCAAGCTGTGCACTCAGCTGAGTAGGATGGCCTTCCCACAGAGAGAATGGCCATGCTCTGGCCAAGGTCTTTCAGTAGCTACCCTCCTTGCTGGACCCCGTAAACAGGTTCTATAGGGCACACTTCCTCCTTCAATGCCTTGCAAGCTGCCATGAGGAGAGGCAACCAAATGACTATCATTATCAAAATCCTGCTCATTTGTTGAACATATAGAGTGAGAAGAAGCTTGGCACTTATGTATTGAGAAAGATTTCGTTTTGTTTTTGAGGTGGGGAGCGTTTAGATGTAGTTGACTTTGGTTCAACCAACTGAAACCTAAAGTCACCAGGCCCCTATCCCTCATTCCGACTCCCACTGCAGATCTGAGCCTTCTGAGACTGGAGAATCAGCCAAGGGGTAAGGATGCCTGCTGCGAACATTATTTTGTTCTTTAAAGGGATAAGATGTTGATGGCTTTTTTTGTTTGTTTGTTCGGGAGGGGAATGGGGGAGGCAGGTCAGATGCCCCTGACATTTAAATGTCTATGCCAAAACCTCACGTAGACCTTGTCTGTCCAAATGAGAAATGGAAATTACGATTGAGAGAAATGACAGAGTCACTTTCTTTAGGGAATCCGTAAATGCTTTCAGCAAAACAGAGCTGAGAGGGAAAGCACAAGAAGGGAGACAAAGATTCTCCTGACCACGAGCCAGGACAGATTAGCCCCTCATTACCTGAAGGCAGCACCGTGAGCACCATATGCTGTGACTCATCTGATGCTTGGTTGACCCACTTGCTTGGACTGCCATGCAGCTGCCACTCTGTCACCCTGCACCAGTAGAGCCCAGCATCCTCCATCTCTACCCGATGAAGCTTCAGGACAAAGTCTGTAGGGGATGAACGGTAACAGTGCAGATGGCTCCTGAGCCCCTCTTCACCATACTCCAACAAGCCATCATGCTGCAAGTGCACCAGCATCTTCCTTCCAGAATTTTCCCTGTTCTGGTACCACATCACAGAGAACAGGGAAGCTGAGCTGCCAGAACTCTCCAGGCTGCAGTGGATGGCCACTTCTCCGTGCTCAGTAGCATTTTCTGTTCTGTACCCTTTGGAAACACGCACCTTACTTCCTAGGAAATAAAATGTCAATAAATTAAAGACAAATCTAGATTTTTAGATTGGATACCTCCTCTGAAAAATCTAGTTCTCACTGAGGAGATGCCATCTTAAAATCCTAAGACATCAGGTCTTTCATCTGTAACATTTTTTCCTTGACCGCCGTCCTTCTTCCATATTTGCTAGAACATTCTGCGCTATGAATCAAACCAACCATTTTCCTTCTTCAGCCCTACCTCTTGTCTGCTGAAAACCTGCCCCTGAAACCACCCAGGTTCAGTGGGCGCTCTGCCCTGCTGCTTTTACCCCTCCCGGGTCAACTTTTTCTTCTACTTCCCAGAGGGATCATTCAAAACTTCCAGCCATCCCCTCAAGCTGGGTATTGCACCACTGCCCCTCATTCCTAGCAAATTACCCTCCTCCCATATGCCCAGATATCATCTCAGTTCTAGATGAAAGGAAAGAGGAGGCTATCTGAGAGACTGAATATTTTTATACAAGTGTTAGAATACCACTCAAGGAGAGACTTTAAATTATTGGATTAGACTAAGTTTTTTTTTATTATGTTCAGTTAGCCAACTTATCATTAGTTTTTGATGTAGTGTTCAACGATTCACCAGTTGACTAAGTTTTAAACAGATTTTGACATTTACTTTTTTAAAAAGTTCCCCTCCTAACTAGCAGGTGAGAACTTTGAATGAAGTCCAGAGTAGTTACAAACAAAATAAAGAAATTATACTATACACTAAATTTTCAACTCTACCACAAACACATTTATTAATCTATCTTTAAAAGAATAACTTTGCGGTGCCTGGATGGCTCAGTTGGTTAAGCATCTGCCTTCAGCTCAGGTCATGATCCCAGGGTCTCCCTGCGCAGCAGGGAGTCTGCTTCTCTCTCTCCCTCTGCCCTTCCCCCTGTTCGTGCTCTCTCTCAAATAAATAAATAAATAAATAAATAAATAAATATCTTTTAAAAAATTAAAAATAAATAAAAGAATAACTTTGATCCTGGATTTGTTGTTGTTGTTCCTCTCTCCTTCTCCTCATGGCAAAGTATGTGAAATATTAGTTTATATGATACTGTCTCTGTTTCCTCAACTCAAATTCCTCCCTACTTGACTGCAATCAGCCTTCCAATTCCAACACCACGCTCTGGCCAAGATCCTCAGTATGGACCCAATTTCCCAGCTCAAGACACTCTCATTTTGTTGTCCTCTCTGTGGGTTTTATCCCTGAAGTCTATTTTTTCTTGAAGTCCTCTCCTCTTTTGATGTCAGAGAAAATGTCTCTCCTATAATTCTGACCACTCCTTCTCAGTATCTTTCTCTGGGACCTCTTCCTTAAATCATACCCTACACCAGGGTGCACAGCTGGCCACCCCCAGCCAGCCACACCCCACCCACAGATACGTTTTGTTTGACACCCTCAGAATCTGAAAAGAATTTGGATTAGTTGCGTACATTCTCAAATCGAGCAATGTCACACAAAAAAGATTTTAGGCACTTCTTGATAGACTAAAAGATCAGACAACACTGAGCCCACATTTCTGGATGGGAAGTGTTTGCTAGCTTGAGCTAAGGAGTGGCTGCCTCCTTAAAGGGATGTGCATACACTGTCGAGATTTGGCTTGGGCAACTGGGACAAAGGGCTGCTAGCCACATAGATGGAGAGTGCAGAAGTATGCATGAGTCTTGTGGGATGGCAAGGATGATAATGCAATTTGGGACATGCTGAGTGTAAGGGTCTCAGGGGCTTCCAAGTAGAAATGTATAACAGGCAGTTGGGTCGAAAGACCTGGAGCTAAGTGTAAAGACTTAGAGCAATTTCATCACAGGTGGTAGTTGAAACCAAGGCAGAATTTAAGAAGTTCTGAAGAGGGCAGAGAATAATAAGACAAAGGGGTCCAGGATCTGTCCCTGAGGAACACCCACATTTAGCAGGAAGAAGAAGTGCCTGAAGAATGTGAAGAAGGGGAACCAAAGCAGCAGGAAGAGATCCTTATGCTAAGTTACTGTTTTGCTCTGCTGCCCCCAACAGATTGTAAGCTCCTTAAGGCAAGAGCTGTGCCTTATTTCTCTTTGTATCTCTAATTGTATAATACACGGCGATGTTCATTATAATCTTATTTTTGGATGTTACACAGAAAATAAAATTTTAAGCACCAAACTAGATTAACTTATTTGCATTGTGCTGTTGGATCTCAGCCAGTTCCCAAACCTTAGCTGTGACATTCATTTAATTTTAATCAACATTGGAGGTGACCTAAATAATACCCAGAGATCTAATCAACCCTGCCCACATTTACACTGCAGCACTCCTAGACCAATGCAAATGGATGGAACTTCTATTACATTTTTAAAGATCTCTCGAGGAAGAGGAGACTCCCTCAGTAAGCCATTCCAACAGTTAACTTCTCTTATTCACCTTATGTTTAGGCAGCCAAATGTTGAAAAGCAGTTTCTCCACACATCCCTATAGAGTTGTACAGTTTCTGTTCACAGTGGGAGAAATATGCTTTGTATTACTCTTTCTTTGCCAAATTACAGTAGAGCCCCACTGGAATGACACAGCTTGTTATTACAGAGATCTAGAGATACGACACCCAGGGTAGCTCCATAGACCAGGCTGCCAGTCTGATAAGCAAACCAATCAACAGGATCTTGTTCCCATCCAAGCTCCTCAAAGCCTCAGATTGAATCACCTTAAGTGACACCCGCCTCCTCTGCTGGGCTACTAGGTCCTGCATTCGTTGTGTAGGTGGACACTATTCCTATGACCCTGGGCCATATTTCTACTTTCACATATCCACTCCAAAGAAGAGCTGCCCCAGAGAAGTTGGCAATCCTACAGAAAGACATGTGAGGATACACTTGCGAGGTTTACCTGTGGACCTGAGTTTCAATTCTGTCAGACCTGACTTCTTTTCTCCAAGCTTGAGCCAAGTGCCATTTGTAGACAAGAGCCATTCCTCCACAGCGCAGTGGTATTTGCCCTGATCACTGTCTTCCACGTTCAAAACATGTAGCTGAAACAAGTCTTGGGAAACTTTTTCGGGGTAGAATTTTTGTTTTCTCCGTAGGGTGTGAAATTCATCCCCATATTTTACAACATTGTTTTTGTCTATTTGCAGGATCTTCAGCCAGGTTGCTTTAGTGGAACTGGGAGAGAAGTACCAAATGACAGCTAATTGAAGGTCTCCAGTGGACCGGGACAAGATGCTACATTCTATGTTGGTGTTGGAGTTGATGAGGATCTCTTGGACTTGACTGCTTGAGTTCACTTGTAGCTTGCTTTCTAAATTAAAAGAATGGTGACAGTGACTTTTTTTATTTTGCTAGAAAATAGAATTTTAAGGTAGAAGGGACATTAGAAGTCAACTAGGCATGAGGCAATGTCTCCTACCTCCATTGGATGTGTGAATTCCTTCCCCAGCAGCCCCACTAACTGCCCACTGAGCCTCTGAACAGCTTACCAACTGACAAAGCAGCCCATTCCATCTTTGGACATCTCTGCCACTAGAGAATTTTTTCTGATGTCAAGTGGGATTTCACCACTCCCTACCTTCCTGTCACTGGTCCTGGTTCTACCCTTACCCGGCAGAGTGGGATAGGGAACATGGGGCAGGATGGAGTGTCATACAGAAAACCAATCTCTTCCACATGATAATGCCTCACTGTCAAAGCATAGACTTCTTCTCTTCTGTCACATTTCATAAATCAAAGTGAGAGAAAGTGGCCCTATTAATGCTTTGTCTGTGTGCTCACTCTCTGGAATACTCCTGGATTCACAATTCGCTGACATGTCCTTGTTTGTGTCTGCCTTCAAACATGGGTAAGCAAAAGGAAGTTGTATGTGGGCTACTAAAATTGCATGTCTCTTTGCAGCCAGTCAACTGTGGGAATCTTATACAGATATGGAGTCAACTATCCTTCTACTCCAGAAGCTTTTCTGCTCTGTCAGGAAGATGAATGCTACAACCTGCCTTCCAAACCTTATTCTAACTTCTTCCTGATATCATTAATTCTACTTTTGTAACTGCTTCTTTAAAGTTGCTGGTAGGTCCCTTTCCTCTTCCTTCAGCATGTATGTATCAAGCACACATTGTGTTATGTGCCAGACCATTCCTGGCTCTGTGGATACCTCCCATCAGTGGGTTCACAGTCTAGAGGGAGAAACTAGTACAGGCACAGAGGCCTACAAATTACAACACTGTATCAGCCAAGTGTGACAGAGGTATGCAGAAGTGGCTGTCCGAGCACAGGGTAGGACCTCTAACTCAAATATGGGAGTAGGGGGAGGCTTCCTGGAGCAGAGATCTTGAAGCTAAGTCTTAAGAGTTAATAGGAATTTGTCTGGTGGAGAAGAGGTTAAAGAGTTCCACACAAAACCCATGACTTGAACAAAGACTGGAAGTGAGAGAGAACACAGAGTATTTGAGGGCTTGCAAGTAGTTCAGCGTGGCCAGAGCTCAAATTCAAGATGGAAGTAGAAGATGACACTGGAAAGACATAAATGTACCAGGTTATAAAGGATCTTGCAGGCTGTGCTATGGGAGTTTGGATGAGGTGGATATGGAGGTGTTGTGGTTTCTCACCTTGGCCACTGGTGGATCGTGAGGACATGGAGAACAGTGTAGGAGGAGTAGATTTGGAAGAATAAGAATAGTGCATTTATGTTTGGACTTACTGAGTGTAGATATGCCTTGGAGATAATTGTATAACGAGACTGGAGATCAAAAGAGAAGTCTTTCAGGATAATGGATTTGAGAGTTGTCAGTATATAGGTTGAACCAGGGGGAGGAATAAGCCCACTTCAGGAGACTGTATGGAATGAGAAGAGAGCAAGCTAAGGCTGAAATGCAAAGGAATGGATCTGTGAAGGAGGAGAATTCTGCAAAAGAGAATGAGAAGAAACAGAGTGTTAGGAAAGAAACCAAGAAAATCTTGTGTCATGAAGCCAAGGAAAAAGGAAGTTTCAAGAAGAAAGGATTGGGTCAACAATTTTAAATACCATGGGAAGGACAAGGCAATTAAGACATGAGTTAATCAACAAGGAGATTGTTACTATTACTGAAAATGTCACTCAGCAGCAGAAAGAATAATGGCTGCTACCATGTCTGAGCATCTGCTTGATGCGTCAGGCACTGTCCTAGGCACATGACATATGTCACCACAGTGCAGAACAGCAATTTAGGGATGAAGTCCCTAGACTTGGACAGATTGAGTGATTTGCCCAAAGCTAAGCCACTTGCCAGTGCCTGTCAGGTAGAAATGACTTCAAAGGCTCTTAAACACAATGTCTTTAGAGAATGGAAGTCATAGAAGAAGATACGTGACCCAGCAGGACTTTGCCCAGGTTGTGTCTCTGCTCTTAGACCAACTGATGAGGTAAATTATATTTGACTATAATCAGATATTCTCTCTTATACATTAACATGTTAAACCGAGAGGATAAATGTATTCTAATGGAATTGACATTATCCTTACCAGTAGGGGAGACATTCCAAACATTTAATGACTAGTAAAGCACGGGCAGTGACCAATCTGAAGAATGCCTCCCTCCCTACCGGAGCTGGTCCGAGAAGCCCCCTGTTGTGCCATGTGGTAATTTTCAGTTGCTGGGTGGTGGAGACTTTTGGGAAGAGGGGGAAGGGGCATGGAGCAACACTTATTAGTAGTCAGTGTGGAAGTATGTCAGTGTTTTAACAACCAGTATGGCTGTCCCATGCGTACTAACTTCATGTTAGCCTGGCTATCGGTTTTACATCGTGTTAACATACAGTCAAAACATGGGGGAAGGTATGTTATATTTTAATTCTATAATTTACCCAAAATAGGAGAAATGTGTTCATTTGTTTTTAAAGCAGGGATTACTTTCCAGTGGTGTTTACCTGGTAAAGTGATGGCTATCATCAGTGAGTGAGAGACGGCAGAAGCCCTCACGGGGCCGCTTGTGCATAGGGAATTTCTGACGTAAACTTCTACTTTACACTGATAAACTCCTGCTTCTTCCTCGGTGGCATCATGAATTAGGAGTCGAGAATGAAACGAGGACTGTAAAACTTTTGTCTTCTTTTGGAACTGAGATAGGAAATCCCCCCACTCAATAGTGCCATTATGGGTGATTCGAACAAGCGGATGAAAGACTTGAGATCTTGCTGGTTGGAACTGCCATGTCACGGTGAGTGGCACCCTGAGGTTGGCGTAGTCAGCCTCCACTATGCAGGACAGGCCAAAGGTCTCGGCTAATTCCACTTTGGGTTGACGGCTCATCAGCTTAACCCATAAACTCGACTCTGTGGGCAGAAATAAATGGGAAACACCATTGCCAATGTGTTTATCAAATCAAAGTTTTCCTACTGACCACCTCTTCACATGGAGCCATGCATTCATACACTGGGAGCATCAACTATTTGGGGCTCAGAGTTGACTCACAGTACGGTCTGTCCTGAATTCTGTCCTCAAATTTTCCAAAGTTGATCCTCTTCTAAGAGCATTCCCAGCAGTGACAACAAACAGGAAGTGTTTCTCCAGCCTGCTGCTAGTGGGTGGAGTGCTCTCCCCTCCCTACCCCCGCCGCCCCCCCACCGGTGGCTGGTCTCCCCTTATTTCCACTCATGGGCTCAGCATCACTCTTTTGCACAGGCTTGAAGAGACTCTGCAAGCCCAGGGCTGCAGCTCTAGAAGCCTGGATGTACGAGGCTCAGCTCCACCGGGCACAGGTCCTCTATATGTCTACTCCAGCTCATAGGCTTTCACGTTTAGTTTTGACTAACAACCGACAAGTGGCACCCTACGGATGAACCTTATAAAGATGAGTAAACTTCAGAGATTGGCTGACAGACCTGGCAGCCAGAGACTATGCTCTGCGTCCTGGGGTGTACGCTCCACAACGAGGGGGTTCGGGTCGACACACAATCAAATTCCACTGCTTCCCACTGCCCAGGAAGGTACTGTTGATATATGTAAGTTTAGAACAGGATTTCTTTGATCCTTACCCAGAGATTTGACAGTGACGGCCAACTTCTGAGTCCAGCTCCGCCCTCTGGCCTGGTTCCGGGTGCCCTCAGACACTCTGCACTCATACATGCCACTGTCTGTGGTGCTGGTGGAGCTGATCTCCAGCTGGAAGGTAGCCCAGTCCATTTTCTCCAGCCTTGTGGAGGCCTGGTTATTGAGTTCCTTGTAGGAGGTCCCCAGCTGCATGGTGCCATCCTGCTGCATGCCAGCCACCAACTCTGGCTGCTTCTGGCCTTGTGGAAGATGCCACCATTCCACAGACAAGGGACTCTCAGCCCCATCTGCCTTGCAGAGAAGGGTTAATGCCTCTCCTTCCCACACAGCTTGCTGCTGGTTCTTGGTAGATAAGACCACATTTCTTGCTGTGGATTACAGATTTGAGACGAAAAAAAAAAAGTATTTCAAGTCAATGAAAATTTTTCTAAAACATGGTGAAATCTCTTTAATTAGGCCTTGACTAGTTTGTGACAAATCAGATTGGGCTGTTGACTGCTCTTACCACCCCCGGAAAAGAGATTTGCTAAACACATACATAGTGGGAACAAGACAGCAGAAAGACTATCAGGTGAACTTACTTACCCTTAAACAATTTATAATTTGCCCTTATTTTTAGTGATTTGTTAAATCAGCCCTTCATTAAGAACATCTAGTTGGGAAAGCATCTGGTAATATTTTCTTAGATTAATTAGGGTGGGTATATAAGCCTGAAAATAATGAAGCTGTGTTTATTTAAATTTTTAGTTCTTTGGAATTTTATCTTTCACAGATCAAAATGATATTCCTCTGCCTACTTATCTTTTCCTAATTAGTATGTGTTTTGAACAGGAAAGGAGTATTGGTAATTAGATTTCTGTTCAAAAACTACCATTGGGGCACCCAGTTGGCTCAGTCCATAGAGCATGCAACTCTTGATCTCAGGGTCATGAGTTTGAGGCCCATGTTGGTTGTAGAGTTTATTTAAACAACAACAACAAACAAAATCCACCATTAACAACAATTACTTGGGGGAAAATACACATACAGATATATTTCTCTTTTTCAAATCACATATTCATATATATATATATACACAGACTATTGGTTGAAGAGAGATCCTACTTATATCTGAACTATAATGTTAAACTACAAAATATAAATCTGGCTCCCAGATGGGAAATTCAAGATATGTAGAAACGCAAACATTCATTCAACAGATACTTCCTGTGCAAGGCTTTGTCCTGGGTGCTTTGTGGGCAAAGCAAAGACACCTCCATAGCTCATGCATCTCAGGTTTAAGGCCAACGTCCTGGGAGTCAGAATTTATCTTGGGCAACACAGTTGTCCTCCCTGACCCTTGATTTTCTTTCCTGTATATACGAACATAATAATAGCACCAACCTTATTGCATTGTTGGGATGAGCAAAAGTGGTACATGCCAAAGGGCTTAGCCTGGCTAGCAAGGGAAAATACCCAGTACATGGGAGTTACTAGCATTGGTTGTAATGATAGGCACTTAGTGAAAGTGAGGTAGTTCAAAGCCAAGAGAGAAAACAAAATGGAATTGGGATGAGAAATCTAAATAAGATCTAAATGAATTTGCAAATTTTTCTTCCCTGCTGAGGAAGGAGTTGAGCCTTCTCCTGCTCTATGTATATATGTATATAAGTTACAAAGGCAGAATGAAGCTTGATGTCCACAAGTAACTTTAATCCATGTATTTAATATTTTAATTATCAATAATACTATTAAATAATTCAATAATTCTTATTTAATAATTAAATAATTATTAGTTAAATAATATTTAATATTATACATCTATATCTGTATCTACATATGTAAACTTGCTTCCAGATTTTGGGGAGTGGAGGCAGGATTATACTTAAAGTTCTTTTCAAGTTAAAAATAGACTCATAACTGAAGTTGAGAAAATAAAGAGGAAATTATTGCTCATAATCTCACTACTTGAATATAACCATTATGGTTAGTTTCAACTAACATCAGTTTTTGTTTTTTTTTAAAGAAAAAAATGAGGTTTCCTTAGTTCATTACAGTCCTTACTGCCTTTGGTAAGAAGTAATAATCTTATCAAGTGTGTGTAAGTTACACATTCACAGTGGTAGTGAGTAACCTCTTCTGTTTAAAATATTCATAAAATATGAATTTCATGATAAAACTCTGCTCATACTTTGGTTTGACTTTCAAAACTGAATGCTCAACAGGATCCTTAATAAATTTGCTAATAGCTTTTTCTGTTTCCACATATCAGGCCCAGTTTGGACTCCAGCCTACACAATGAACTATTTTTAGCTTTAGAAGACCACCCTACTGATAGGCTTATGATCTGTGGGTCACAAAGCACACCTTCAGTTCCCTTTGGCACAGATTCCCATATGCTGAATTTAAGAAAGGTTTACAGATATGTTTCAGCAGAGATTGAGATGAATGAAGCAAAGATTTAGCTCTGTGTAAATATGTAAACCCGCCTACACAGTTCTTCTTGAATCCTAGAAAGTTAGACCAAATGTTTAGTGTGAAAACTAACACCAGCATACTTCCTGGCTTGCCACTCTAGGCCAAAGTTTCTGTGTCTTCATTGCTGGCAAATGGGGTGACAGAGAAGAGCATGAAAGGGAAATCTATCTATCTTTGGAGATGCTGCCAGTGAGCAAGTGAAACAAGGGTATCTTTATTTTTAGTTGGGTTTTGTTCTGTGCTCTTGGGCAGTTAATCTTTCTAGACTTTGAATATAATACCCGGACCAGAGCATCCTAATATTAGTTGTAGATTTGTCTGTTCTCTCTTCAAACAGAAAGCACTGAGTGTTCAAACATGTTTAAGGTCATTCAACCTTCATAAACTTGAAACGAGAGCTGAGTGGCCTTCCACTTTCATGCCCATAGCTACTCAGACCCGTTTGGACAGGCACATCACATTACAGCCAAATGCAGGGAATAGAGTCTGCCTGCTATCATTTACCTCTTCATTCCTTATTCTGAGTCATGCTTTGATGCAGAATTAAGACATACTATCATTGTCTGTATCAGGTTACGATAATAGAGGATGGACAAAAGGCATCTGAAAGATGTTTGGGGGGCAGGGGCCATAATGTAGGTGTTTGATCCCCAGGAAGGAGGCAAAGTGTCATCCTTTCCTCTTACCATACTCACACCACACAGACAACAAAGAGAAGATAGAGGGTTTCATTAACGCACGTGTTTTCTGTTCGGAGAAAAACCCAACGTACAAAAATGAGGACTGATCGCAAATAGAATCAAAGGATCTAAGACAGCAAGAAGGGACTTCAGGACAATCTAATCGTATGTAATTATTTTATATTTGAGGAAGCTGAGATTTAAAGAAGTTAAATGTTGTGTCTGTGGTCACAGCCCATTTAACGGCCCGGAATAAGACTTAAGTCTTCAGCTAGTTTGGTTGCTTTTCTTTACTCCACCTCAGAGTGATCTGACTGACACCCGACTCTTCAGGGGAAGTCCACTGTGTCCAGGGAGGCAGCCTGTACTCACAAAGGAGGGAAGCGGAGGGCAGCCCAGGCATGTCTGGTTCTGACTTCACGTACCTGCTGGTTTCCTCAGATGCACATGGCTGTCTGGTGACTGCTTGCTCTGAAGCACCTGCCAGGAGCCCATCTGGGCTCTTGCCATCTCCGCCACAGCACATCTGTAGGCGCCTTCATCCTCGGGGCCCGCAGAGAAGATCTTGAGAGAGAAAGCCTTGGGGGTTAACTTTGAAACCTGGAGCTGTCCTTGACTTGCTCTCTGTCTGTAGTCTCCCTTCAGGTCCAGAACACCCCCAGCATCCATGCGGGCCATCTCATTACCATTGAAGAACCAAACGCCCTGAAGCTGTGGGTCCCGGCCACTGCCTACGACCAGGCAGACCAGTTCTAAGGATTTCCCTGTAGTAAACGTGCTCTCAGCTGAAATGTTGACTTGCAAATCTCTCACTAGGAAACAAAAGCAACGCAGGTATTTAGAGAAGCCACAGCAACTGTCCTTTCGGGACCACGGAGAGATAATACCCCCTGTAAGGAGAGTACGGGGATTGAATTTCATGTGGGAGTTGAGCTCTGAGGAGTAGTGCAGCCAAAGAAATGCCTAGAATCAAAAATGTCCTTGACTATTCCTTCAATCATTCAGAAAGAACAGTATACATAGCTTTCTGAATGCAATCCTATTAAGCAAGACGTATGCATAGAAGTATAAAGTATACAGTAGTCTATCTTTTTTGAATAAAAAATATAAAATATTTTATAATATGTTGAACTGCTGTAAGTTGTGATGCTTTGTTCTCTTTTTTTGGCTAAGAATATCCAGTGGAATTTTCCTAAGTTAAAGCACATGTGATGTGATGTAGAACTTGAAACGAGAGCTGAGTAGTCTACAGCTAACATAACACCTAACAATGAAAAGCTGAAAGTTTTTCCTCTAAGATCAGTAAAAGACAAAGACATCCACTCTCACCACTTCTATCTGACATAGTATTGGAAGCCCTAGCCAGAGCACTTAGTCAGGAAAAAATAAAGGGCATTCAAGTCAGAAAAATGAAGTAAAATAATCTGTTTGCAGATGACATGATCTTATATATAGAAACCCCAAAAGACTCCACCAAAAACCTGTTAAAACTAATGATTGCAGTAAAGTTGCAGGATACAAAATCAACATACAAAAAACAATCAGTTCCATTTCTATACACTAGCAACACAGTATTGGAAAAAGACATTAAGAAAATTTCTACAGATGGCCAATAAATACAATGAAAAGATGCTCAACATCACTCACCATCAGGGAAATGCAAATTAAAACCGTAATGAGATATCACCTCACACCTGTCAGAACGGCTATTCTCAAAAAGACAAGAAATACCAAGTGTTGGAGAGGATGTGGCAACAAGGGAACACTTTTACACTGCCAATAAGAATGTAAATTGGTGCAGGCAATATTGAAAAGAATATAGAGATTTCTCAGAAAATTAAAAATAGGGTGCCTGAGTGGCTCAATAGGTTAATGGCCAACTTCTGGTTTCGATTCAGGTCTGATCTCAGGGTCACCCGCACGAGACTCAGTGCTCAGCACGGAGTCTGCTTGTCCCTCTCCCTCCCCCTCTGCTCCTCTCCATGAGCTCTCTCTCCTTGTCTCTCTCCTAAATAAATAAATAAAATCTTTTTAAAAATTAAAAATACAATTACCATATGATCCAGCTATTCCACTTCTGGGTATTTATTCAAAGAACACAAAAACACCAAGAAGATATATGCACCCCCATGGTCATTGCAGCATTATTTATAATAGTCAACATGTGGAAACAACCTAAGTGTCTATCAATGGATGAATGGATAAAGAAAATGTGGTACACACACACACACACACACACACACACACACAGGAATACTACTTAGCCATTAAAAAGAAAGAAATCTTGCCATTTGCAACAACGTGGATGAACCTTGAGGGTATTATTCTAAGTGAAATAAATCAGACAGAGAAAGACAAATATCACATGATTTCACTTATATGTGGACTCTAAAAACCAAAACAAATGAACAAACAAAACAAAAATGAACTCATAGAGACAGAGAACAGATTTGTGGTTCCCAGAGGGAAAGTGGGTTGGGGAGTGGGCAAAATGGGTGAAGGGGCTCAACTGTATGGTGATGGATTGTAACTAGACTTAAAGTGGTGATCACTTGTAGTATACACAAGTATCGAATGATAGTGTGGCACACCTGAAACTACATAATGTCATACACTAATTTTATCTCAATTAAAAATAATCTCATTTGCAATAATGTCAAAAAGAAGAAAATACTTAGGAATAAATTTAACCAAGGAGGTGAAAGACATGTGCACTGAAAACTGTAAAATATTGATGAAAGAAATTAAAGATACAAATAAATGGAAAGATAGCCTGTGTTCATGGGTTGGGAGAATTAATAACACAAGTTGGTGAGGATGTGGAGAAATGGATGTGGAGGACATGCACTGTTAGGGGGAAGGTAACATTATAGAAATGGTGTGGACAACCTAAGTGTCCACCGATGGATAGACAAATGAAGAAAAAATATATATATATACACTATATTTTATGTGTGTATATATATATATATATATACACACACACACACACACTGAAATATTATTCAGCCATGAGAGAAAAGGAAATCCTGCCATTTTCAACACCATGGATCACCCTGGAGGACATTTGGTAAGTGAAATAAGCCAGACACAGAAAGATACTGCAGGGGCTCATTTATATGTGGCGTCTAAGACTGCTGAACTCATAAAAGCAGAGAGTAGAATGGTGGTTGTCAGGATCTGCGGGGGTGGGGTAGATATTGATCAAAGGGTACAGAGTTTCCATACACAAGGTAAGTTTTATAGATCTAATGTATAGCGTGGGGACTGCAGTTAATAATACTGTGTTGCATACTTGAAATTTGCTGAGAATAGAGATCTTAAGTGTTCTCACCATACACACATGCACACCCCTGCTACACATAAAAAGTAACAATGTGAGATGATGAATATATTAATTAGTTTGACTGTGGTAATCTTTTCAAAATGCATATGTGTATCAAAACATGTACACCTTAAATATATACAATTTTTGTCAAATAAATAAGTAAAAATAAAGATTGTTTTACATAAAAAATTGGTCTCAAAGAGAGAAAAAAAGCACATGTGATGTGCCCTCACAGAACTCACTGAGTGTAACTTGGACACTTAAGACAAATAGGACAGTTTCTTAATGAAATAAAATAATACTCCTCCTAAAGAAGGAAGGATGGAAGGAAGGAAGGAAGGAAGGAAGGAAGGAAGGAAGGAAGGGAGGGAGGGAAGGAAGTCTTCAATGATCCACCATTGGATCACTGCTTTTAGCATGGATACATATGTTTTTCTCAACCTCTTCCTATTGGACCATAGCCTACATAGAGAAACCAGGAATGACAGCTGAGGCTTCCTGTTTGCTTTGATGAAAATGCCAATGGATCATGAAGAGTAACAGCATCCCAAGCAGGAAATGGGGTCAGGTGGAAGGAAATCCTGGCAGTGACTAAGATAAGGCTCCACATTGGAAACTGGAGCTACTCTGAGGCCCTGGGGGTCTGTGGTGTGGGGGCTTTGGAGAGACACACCTGCTTCGAGCACTAGCCCCACCTGTACCAGCATTTTGTATGTCTGAGGTTCAGGTTCCTTGTTTTAAAAATGGGGAGTCGACCACTTGCCCCATAGGGTGAGGACTAAATTAGATAATATAGATAAAGTAGATGATATAGATAAAAATGCTTACACAGGGCTTGGCAAGGATGGTAACAAAACCATTTTCACGCATGACTTGTGGCATCTATCTAACCATTCAACAGATCTTATCCCATAGAAAACATGCTGTGGACAGACCCAACACCAAATGTCCCTCTTCTTATTTACGCTTCCCAGATGCCGAAACCAAAACGTATTCAAACTTTCTAAATGTTTTTTCTTTTTAGACACAACAAAAGATTAGAAAAAAACCAAAAAGATATCCCATAAATACCCACTATCAACATACTAATGAATTTCTTGAGAAGATCATTACCTGTTGGTTGGATCCTCAGAGCTGTTTGAGCTGTCCGCTTTCTTGTGATTAAAGTCCAGGTTTCATCTGGATCCTGAATCCATTCAGTTGCCTCACAGAACAGCTGGCCTTGATCTGAGGGCTGGAGCCTCCCTATGGACAGCCTGAAGGTGGCGACCCCAAGCTTGCTGAGCTGGACGTCACCAGCCGCAAACCTCTCTGTATATGAGGGCCCAGGGATCACCACGAAATCTTTGGAGAGGGAAATAATCTTGGTAGTTTGGTTTCTTTCTCCATCCTGCATCAGGTACCAGGTGACAGAGAGGTGGGTATGCTGAGCTGTGGCTTTGGATGCTTCACAGGTAAGTTCTAATGATTCGCCTTCCTCCTTACGGAGAGTCTGGGGACTCATGGTGGCAGAGAGGGTATCTGGAATAACTGGAAGCAAAGGAATGATGATAACTGACTGGTCCAGGAACCTGTCGGACAAGCCTGCTTGGATGAAGATGGCGCCCTGACCCACCATCCGTAAAGCACTTACTTTCGGTTGTTTTTCCACCAGCCATATGCTTTCCCTATTGCCAAGGGGAACATTGGCATCTGTATACATAGTCTGTGGAACTTGGCAAAACTAATGGCTCAGTGATGTATTGACCCCAACTTTACGTTTTTAGCATAGGCTGTGACCAATTTAGCTACTCAGACACAGAGTATTTAAAAGGGAAGAGCACTGGGAGCTAGAAGACCTAGATTCTGATCCTAAATCTGTCCCTATTTGACTACAGGAATTGGAGCGAGTCACTTCACCTCCTTACGCCTTAACCTGCTTCTTTGTAAAGTTCTGAAATAATCTCTTAAAATCATTCAGAGCCAAAATGCAACCCTTACCAAAGTTTTGATAACCATCCTACTACCCTATCATTGTATTCTTCCTCAGAGGAAATCACACAGCCTAAGCTTATGGGAAAGCAACACTTAGATTCAATCAGTGAAGGTTTATTGAGCAGATACTCGGTGCTAGCCACTGGGCTAGGGGCTGAGATAACTATTCTCCTGGAGCTGGAGGTGTGGGAGGAGTCATATAAGAAGCCAAATACCACATACACTGGGTGAGTGCTAATAATAGCGATGTGAATAGAACATCAAGAGGAAACAAAGATGGGAATACAGCCTGAGACAGTCAGGACGGATTTCACAGAAGAGGTAAGACCTAAAGTGGGTCTACAAGTATATGTGGGAGTTGGCTAGACTGAAAAAGGGGTGCTAAGATATTCTAGGCAAAAGGGGCAAAATGGTAATTGCAAAGACTATGAACCTTTCTGTCTATGTGAATATGCTAGAGATTAGTAGTTTGGGAATATCCATTTCCAAGTGAATGACTTACCACTTGATCATATTAACTCCAGCTCTCTTACCAAGTTAACGTCCTGCCTCCAAGAAGAGACATGACATGGGGAGAACTCCCAGAGTTTTGTCTGATGCTGTTACTACGATCACCCTGTGGCTAGCTTTGGACAAGGCCTTCGGAAGACCACATGCTATCTAAAGCCTGGTGGCAAAGTTGGCGGCAAAGATGATCTGAGAGTTTTAGAGAAGGGGAGATACCCATTTGTGACCCAACTGCAAAATATCCAGAGGGCTTCCAGGGCTCTCTTGCCAAAGCAAGGACATGATGCAAAGCCATGTCACATGGCACAAGGCATTGTCATGGTGGGGCTCTGGCTTCTGAGGGGCTGGCAGGCACAGCTTACCAATTAGCCTAGTCTTCGCACTGTAATTGCCATAGTATCTTTCATCCGTGTTGGGTGTGTGACACTCATACTCGCCAGAATCCTTCGGCTGGAGCTCTGAGATGTGCAGGAAGACTGAGTTGCCCCGGACCCTCTCCACGTAGATCCCCCTGCTTCGCACCCGCTGTGCGTACACCGCGTAAGAGAAGGTGGCATCCTTGGTGCTCACAATCTGGACTTCTTGGGTCGGGGCTTTGGGCAGGTAAACAGACCACTGGAAATGCTGCTCAGCAGGTCCCTGGTGGCCAGTGACATTGCAGCCAATGCTGATGGGGTAGCCTGCAGCCCGAAACAGCGGTCCTTTCTGGAGGGTCACTTCTCTCTGGCCAAGGCTGAGCTTAGCTTGCAAGGAGGAGAAAGAAAGAAAGGGGAATAAAAATAGATTAGCATGGGCGCCTGGGTGGCTCAGTCGTTAAGCATCTGCCTTCGGCTCAGGTCATGATCCCAGGGTCCTGGGATCAAGCCCCACATCGGGCTCCCTGCTCAGCAGGAAGCCTGCTTCTCCCTCTCCCACTCCCCTTGCTTGTGTTCCCTCTCTCGCTGTTGAAAAAATAAATAAAATCTTTAAAAAAAAATAGATTAGTGCTCCAGTCCCCAGTGTGCCACCTTATTGCAGCGCCCTGTATTAGAGTTCTAGTAAAGGAGATCACAGGGTATTAGCTATAATCAACTCAAATGTTCATACACCTCCTTCAGGCTGAGGAGCGGTGGAATGGCTTGATGAGTTCATTGGTCTTTCATAACTTCAATTTCCATAGTAATTCTTAGTTGCTTAAAAAAAAAGGTTAGCTTCAACAGTATGATGACTATTATAACTGATAACACTTGGTGCCCTGTGTTATCTAAGGGCACTTATTTTAAAGTCAATACGATGCATGATAATTCACCTTTTACATTATTTTGTGGGAAAAGTCAGCAAATTCTTCCTTCCGACTCTCACTCCTGGCTCCCTATCAGGCTGTTCCCTCCGAGATTGCTGGAGAAGGAAAATCTACCCACACCGCCCATGGTGCCACACTTTCTCTGTCTTGCTAGTTGGTTGGAACTATTTGTAGCTCCTGGCCAGGTCTGATGCAGGACTAGCTAAAATTAGCAGCTGAAGAGGCAGCGGCACTTCCTTTCTACACTGTGGAGGGTTTTTTGTTTTGTCATTTTTTAAAGTGCCACTACAGCTTTATTGAAAAGGCTTCGTAAAAGACAGCCTGTCAAGTCCGCCAGGATCTGGGCTCAGAGTCACTTCAGTTCTTCTCCGACCAAAAGCATTCAGTTGGGACGACTATGGAGTGTTTTCTGTTGAGACAGATCTCAAGTATTCGGTTTGCAAGAGAAAACATTCTCAAATGGCAACATTTTCTTTTGACGTGCATGTGTTCAAAATCAGACATTTGCAGAAATGAAAAATGCATGTGTTTATGGATTAGGCTAATATTCAAGGCTAGTTTGTGTTACATAAAAGGCAAAGAGCAAATGACAGAGATGCCCAAGGGTGAGCCCGATCTTTCACTAGGGGCCTGGGGCCCAGTGGAAGGGGAAGAGGAGGGGAAAGACAGCAGAAGAGTCCCATGGGGAGCAACTGCTGGTATTGTGGAATGACCAGAATAGAGCTCAGAAGAAGGTATGGAAGAAGGCCCCTGGGTGGTTCAGTCGGTTAAATGTCTGCCTTGGACTCAGGTCATGATCCAGGGGTCCTAGGATCAAGTCCCGAGTCAGGCTCCCTGCTCAGCGGGGAGTCTGCTTCTCCCTCACCCTCTGCCCCTTCCCCTGCTTGTGCTCTCTCTCTTTCTCTCAAATAAATGAATAAAAATCTTAAAAAAAAAAAAAGAAGGTATGGAAGAAGCAGAGTATCTGCTGAATTTTGCAAATCCACAAGAATAGCAAGTAAAGGAGACTAGAGTGGAAAAAAGTGAGAGAAAGTCTCTCTTTCTCATGATAAGGCCGAGGAAAGGAATTTTGGAATGGAAACAATTCCAATAGAAGGCGGCTACAAAAAAAAAGGGGGGAGAAAAGGCGAGTGGTCATTCGAGGCAGTCCACTAAAAATTGCCTGTTGAATGCTTCATGCAAAACTGGAAAACAAACAAACATCCCACCAACCACACACATTTCCAGTAATAATTAAAATATACCAATTTATTCATAAATCCCAGTTAATGTGATATATTGGTATTATGCTCTTCTAATAAATACTGAGGAATATATAGGAAAAATGTAACTTATTACTTACCAAACAATTATTCAACAGAGACAACTTAAAACATTTTCAGCAATGCCAGTTAGACTTAGACATATATCTGAGAGAAATGTGTGCACTGGGCACCAGGCTATATATAGAAGAATACCCACGACAGCACTGTTCGTCGTAGCCCCGCCTTGAGACCACCCGTATGTCCATCAGCAAGAACAGACACACTGTGGCACATCCATAAAATGAAATATTACATATAAATGAAAGTGAAAGAATTGCAACTGGTTGTAATGTGGATGATGGTGTTTAATGAAAGATGCAGTATGTGGAGAATCTTTTCGACGCTGTACAGAATGATTCCCGTCTTTATCAAATTTAAAAACAGGCAAAACCACACTGTATTGTCTAGTAAATGCAAACAGAAAACCACTTAAAAAAAAAGAAAAGCTAGGAAGTGGTTATAATGGGAGTCAGGACAGTGATTGTGGCGGGGAGGGTTGTAATCGGGAGGGGGCTCACGGCACAGTGGCTGGGTACTTCTAGGGTCCTAGCAGTCTTCTGTTTCTTGACCTGGATAGTGACGACATGGTTTTTACTCTACTTCTGCCCCTCCCCCGCTGCTCTCTCTCTCTCTAAATAAATAAATAAATAAATAAATAAATAAAATCTTTAAAAAAAATAGAAATAAGGGTATCAGGAAGAGACTGTTGTGTTCAAGGGTAAGGGAGGAGATATTGTGTTTGATTTTGAAAATACTAAATTTGAATACCATAAACAGGAAGTATATCCAGCAAACATTAGGAAATAATATTTAAATATACATATATTTGTACTTTGACGTCTACTCAACCCTTTGAAAATCTTTGTAATCTAATCCTTTTGAGAAGTCTGTGATATTCCCACATTTAGCAATGTCAAACTTGTAAATGGTTGAGCCTGACTCGAACCTAGATTTGCAAATGTGAAATCCCTGGCTGTCTCCATTGCTTCCCACTGCTTCCTGTGAATGCCTGTTTATAACCACGGAAGGTTCTGGGCCATGGGTGCAGATTAGGTTGGTTACAGAGCTGGGCCGTGTTAGGGAATACAAGGAGGAGAGCCAAAGAGAGATTACTGGAGGGTCTCTGTATTTAGGGGATAGGATGAGGAACACACCTAGGGAAGGAAGAGCGAGGGAGATAGGAGAGCTGTCAGGATGTAGTAGCTTAGAAACCAAAGGAGGAAAACATGTTCCACAAAAGGGCTTGTCTGGGGGCGCCTGGGTGGCTCAGTCGGTTAAGCGTCTGCCTTCAGCTCAGGTCCCGATCCCAAGACCCTGGGATCGAGAACCCACATCAGGCTCTTGCTCAGCGGGGGAGCTGCTTCTCCTTGTCTGTGCCCCGCTTGTGCTCTCTCTCTCTCTCTGTCAAATAAATAAATAAGTAATCTTTTTTTTTTTTTTTTTAAAGGCCTTGTCTGTTTGCTGACAGCTGCTGTGAGGGTAAGGACCCTAAAGTCAGGCGACAGTCCTTTTAGTTTGATGAGGAGATCTTCGCAAAAGAGATTCCAATAGAGCAGAGGCTGTGGATTTCAAGGGTGAGAAGGGCAGGTAGCGACGGCAGGAGCCGGAGACCACTTCAGGAAGCTTTGTGGAGCCGGGAAGCAGAAGACAAGGGTGGCAGCTGGCAAGTGTATCTCACAGGGGAGCAGGAGCAGGGGCCGGCTGGACATGCTTAAGGGCAGAGGAGCTGCAGAGGGGAGAGGTGGGTGACGCCCGAGAGGGTCATGAACGGAGGAGGGTCCTAGTAGAGGCATGAGGTCATGAACCTGAGGGGGAAGGTACTGCTTGCTCAGAAAAGTGCGGCAACGGCGTGGAAGTTTCATAGGTATTTTTGATGCGGAAAGGAATGGTTGACAGAGGTCAACTCAAATGGCTATGCATTGGGACCAGACGCTGAAGCATCTTTTATAAAGATATTCTCTGTGGGAGATGTTGTACCTACCTCTCCTCCTCCTCGGGAGTACACTACTTCAGAGGGCTGTTCTGTTGCTTTCTCTTCTAACAGACAGAGGATTAGAACCCTTTGCATAGCAGCTCAAATTCTCACTGACTGATGGACACACAGCTGGGCCCTAACACACTGTACTGGGGCTACTACTTTTGAAACCCAAACAGTTCTCTGATGATACTGGCTTTTTTTCAAAAAGATCACTGGGATTGCCGAATTTACCACTACAGTATTATTTAAATGGAAGCTGTTAGGTTGGATCATATAAAATGGCCCATAATTGACCATTTTTTAAAAAGATTTATTTATTTTGACACAGAGAGAGAGAGAGAGAGAGAGAGAGCACAAGCAGGGGGAGGGGCAGAGGGAGAAGCAGACTCCCCGCCGAGCAGGGAGCCCGACGCAGGACTTGATCCCAGGACCCTGGGATCATGACCTGAGCCGAAGGCAGATGCTTACTGAGCCACCCAGGCACCCCAACAATTGACCATTTTTGATACACAAAAACAGCAACTTCAAATGATTCCACATTAGACAAAACCTCTCTGCTGGAGAATATCAAACACAATAAGCAACATCTCTTTCCTTACATGTACAAAAACCCTAGGCCCTTGAAGGCGGAGAGAGCTTCCAACCAAAAACATTTTCTTCTATGAATACAGTCTCAGTAAGATAAAAAAAAAAAATGGGTCCCTCCCTAGCACCCTCCCACATTAATGGTTTTTATATGTAGGGCAGCTAGTCAGGCTGAGGGGTGACGGATCTAGATCAGGGAGACAAAGCTGAGTGCTAAGTCCAAGAGCTCATTCACCAGTAACATTAACTCATCGAGTGCCATGTTCTAACAGAACTAATCAGTCTTTATGTTTATTAAAAAAATCAATTCTGACAAAGTATACCTTTACTAAACAATGCAACCAATCAATTGATCAGCATTTAATCTCCTCCCTTATTTATAATTTTCCCTCCATAGTTGTCAGGACAAATAGCAGGCTTCCAAAGTTCTTTCGAGTTGCTTCCTGATTTATATGCCCTTCACATAAAAACCGTGGTTCTATACAAAATGAGTGCTTTAGAGTGAGTCAGAACTTAGAAGCAATAAATACATGCCCCAGTTTGGATAATTGTTTATGTGGGTTAAGGAAAAGCTTCCAGCTTCCCTTTTTTGAACCTGGTTACTACTTGCCTTCACCCCAGGCTTCCAGCCTGCTCACCAGAATTTAAAAGAAAAAGCGTGTGAAGGAGAGAATTTGCAATGTCTGACTTGTTGCACAATGTACACCCTGTTTTCCCCTCTACACAAGCCAAACACACAGTCCAAATACACAAAGCATGTCTACTTAAGAATCACACTCTAAATAAATAAATAAAATTTGAAAATAAATAATCACACTCAACAACTGAACAGGACAAATAGGAACGTGCCAGCCACCAATACGCCCAGCCATTAATACTTGCCAAGCCAGTCTGGTGGCCACCCATCACCCAGCAGCTAACCGATCCTCGTAACTAGCCCTGCAGGCCACCTCTCACCCCATCAGGCCCCAGATCTGATCTCTACCTCACACAATCTAACGTCTGCTGAGACATGAACCCGGTTCAGTTCAAGCCAATGTTTATGAAGCACGCCATTGTGCTGAAGGCTGTCACTTCTTCATGCGTTAGCCGCAGGTCTGGCCACACTGCTGATTAAGTTCACTTAGTTCCCCTACCATTCCAGTCACTCAAGTACCCACACGAGCTCAACCTAGTCTCTACAGCAGTTCTTAACCAGGGTCCACACACAGGATTAAAGGGTCCATACACTCATGTGAAAAAAACCCCTACATGTTTATTTTCACTAGTCTTAATGAAAATTTAGCATTTCTTCCAGTCATGAAGGTAGACAACAAACCTAGATATGTTCACATCACATTACAGTTGTTACAGATATCTTGAAATATGATTCATACTCATTACTCCTTTGAAGTTTGGTGGTTAACAGACCACCTCTAGATCTTGTGATGGAATCCGTAAAGAAGCCAATAAATGACTGTATCACCATTTAAAACGATGCTGATAATTGCATTTCAGTATGATGGATTTCCCCTATAATCCTATGCATTTTATTTTAGGCATTTAAAAAATTATTCGAAGGTGAGATCTATAGGCCTCATCGGATGCTAAAGGAACCCATAGCACAAAAATGTACCTGCTACCTGCTCTGGAATGATTCCATTTCCAGCCAAGGTCACCTGTTCTCCTGTCTACTTCCAAATCTCCCCTTCCTCCACCCTGTTATAATATGTTTAAGTGCTCCTGGGCCAGCTAAGACCCTCCGTGTGACCTTCAGCAGAGCCCCGTGAATCTTTTGGCCCTTTCTAAGTCCCTCAGATGGATTCCCACTTCAGCTCCCAGGGGTGTCCAGCACCTTCTTTTAGCTTTGCCTCAAACTACTAAGTGCTCTCATCACTTTCCCTTCCATCCAGCCACATCCCCAAGGCAAACACAACAGACAAGACGTAAGGTCACCTCTCAGTCTGGCGAGCTGAGCCCTCACTCCCTCCAGGAACGGGTTAGCCCAGGAGGATAAGGTAAAGTCGGGGAAGCACATGCAAATGTGAACATCAGTGGGCCCGGGTTCACAGACTCAGCCAAGCACTGCACCTCCCTGGAACTCAAGGACGCCGTGATAAGCCAGGAAACTGTTACCGGTAAGTCGAAAATTAGTGCCTACACCTGAGATGTGTGGCACAATTTTTGCCCGTAAATACCAAACTCTCCTCCTCTGCCGCCCAGCAGCCTCCTGTTGACTAGCTCCTGGGACAAAAGAGACATGCAGAATTATGACACTTACTCAGAAAGAGAAAGAAAGATGCCAAATGTGGGATGTGTGCCATTTGGCCCAGTACAGACCTTTCCTCGTGGTGTCACTGAAGTTGCTCAGACACGGAGTGACAAACGCTGTGCTCTCGCTACAAAGGTAAAGAGGAAGCAATGGTGTGGTTTGCAGAGCACTGGGAAACACAGATGGCTTGCAAAGAGCAAAACCGTTTGCGTCATACGGTTCTTTGCTAATCACTCAAATCTGCGTGAGAAAAGTGAGTGATATTCATGGGTAAGTAAGTGTATACAGATAAAAATGAGAAAAGGTGAGTCTCATCCTGGCTAAGTGTGCATCATTAGGTCATCACAGGGGAATGTAGGTAAACCAAATAAATACAAAAATCAAGCAGAAATGTTCTCTTCTTAGCCCTTTCCTCTCCCAAGAGGGAAGGACTAAGAAAGGCAGAAAGGGCCCCTGGAAAACACGAACATGGGGAGACACAAGGTGGTGGTAATGGCGACAGTCTCGTAAGCCAGGCTGCCTGGGTTTGCATGCAGCTTCTATTTTCAATAGCTGTGTGACCTTACAAAAGTTACTGACCCTCCTCTGTATAATGGAGATGCTAACAGTATGTACCCCATCAGATTGCTGTGTGGGTTGAATGAACTCATTCACGTCAAGCACTTAGAATGATATCTGGTACATGGTAAGTGCTCAGTGAATTTCAACAGCCATCATGTGACATTTAAGTGAGTCTTCATCTGCCCAAGATGGGCCTGGCACCAAGGATGGCGAGTAAATACCTAAATCTAACAGGTGGCACTGAACCCAGGCCAACTTAAACCTGCCTAATCCTGAAAGACAAGATCATACAAGGAGGGGCTCCCCGAAGATATTAGTTCCCCAGGTCAAGGCTACATCTAGATAGGCCAGTAATAAACACGTGTGCTTCGGGCCAGAGTTGCAGGCAGATTCCTGCTCCATCCATCCACCCAACCATTTTTTAGTACTTCTATGTTCTGGGTGCTTTGGTAAATTCTGCATGTATGAAGATATTAACAGCCCAGGCTTTGTTCTCAGGAAACTTCCACTTAGTCAGATAACCACAATGCAATGTTGCAAGCACATCCATCAATGTAGCCCCTAAATGGAGTGAGAAAGGTTGGTGGGCAGGAGGGAAGGTCAGGATGGGCTGGGCCGGGCCAAATGAGACAACTAGGGAGGAAGGGGGGGCAGGTACAGCTGGGGGAGAAGCAGCCTAGTGCGAGTAATGATGCACCAGCCATGCCTTCCTGTTTGAGTAAAGTTTGAGGCTGGTATGAAGGGAGCAGGGTCTATAGGGGTAGGCTGGGGCAAATCTTACTGCACCATGAATGCCAGGCCTAGGACTTTGGCTTTTATCCCACAGACAAGGGGAGCTTTTGAGGTCTTCTTCTTCTTCTTTTTCTTCTTTAGGAGGAGAATGGCCTGATTGGGTTTTCCTTTTGAATTGGATTCCATGTTGTGTATTGCTAACTGGTTGAAAGATGAGGGAGGGGAGCAAGGTTAGAAGCAGGAAGGCCAGTTACAGGATTTTTGCAGTTTTCCATATAAGCAATGATGAGGTCCTGAATTAGAGCATTTAAAATATTGCAGAGGAATAGCTAGAGATGCATTTGGAATTAGAGGGTAGCCTCTGATCTTAGGATCTTCTGTCTGGGACGGTGGAGCATGGTGGAGGCAAGCAGGAGCATGACTGGCTCTCGCACAAGGTAAGTTAGGTGAGGTCGCCTAGAACAAATACAAATAAAGAGGTACGGACATTCGAAGGCGGGAGAGAGCACAGCTGATTCAAGGTGAATGGGACATCAGGCCAATCTTCAGGGGAAAGGTAACATTTTAAGACAGGACTTACTTTCCCAGTGGCCATATAGTAGGGTAACATTCAACAAATTCAGGTCTGGAAGCCTCTAACTTCTACCCCTCTTTAAGGTTTCACTTTCTCCCCCTCTGGATTTATTTAGGAGTAGTGATGATATCTAAAAATTAACACTCCACGGTCAGTCAAACTACAAATATTAATGTCTTTAGTGAAAAGCTCTGTACTTCCCTTTTCAAGGTACTATGCAAGGGTTTAGCTTAATAAACAACCGTAGATAAGAAACAGTAGTCAGTTGGCATGAGCTCCTAACCACGTGGGCCTCTCCACAACACTTGAGTGCCCTCACAACATGGCGGCTGGCTTCTCCCAGATTGAATGATCCAAGAGAGACAGACCAAGGAGAAGAGGCAGTGCCTTTTATGGACTAGTCTCAAAGTGACACATTATCACTTCCACCCTATTCTATTCATTAAAAGTGAATCACTAAGTCCAGCCCACACTCAAGGGGAGGGAAATTAGGCTGTGCCTTTTGAAAGGAGGAGTGTCAAGAATTCGTGGATATATTTTAAAGCCACCACAAACCTACACCTACATTTAAACAATTTTTAACATTTTTCTGTATGTGCTTTATCATATGTGTGTGTGCATATGCATTTGTTAGAGAGAAAGGAAGGAAGAGAGAAAGAGAGAGAGAAGAGAGGGAGGAAGGGAGGGAAGGGGAGGGGAGAGGAAGGAAGGAAGGAAGGAAGAGTAACCAAATAAGGGAGCATGTGTTGAGTATCTAATTTATGGCTTTAACAAGAAATATCCTAAGAGTTAATAGGCTGTAGGGGCTACTGCAGGCAGGGAGCAGCTATAGGTCATTCAGAAAAGGCTGGTTTTAAGTAGGTGCTTGGGGATCTGGTCTGATTCAAATAGGCAGAGGAGGGCGGGAAGGAAATTCCAGTAGGGAGAAATGAAATGTACAAAGATACGGAGGCACGGATGTGCAAGTTATATTCAGGGAACAATTAAAGGGTAGTTTGCCTTGAATGGGCATTGCAAACTACCTCCCCAGGCTGTTGACTATAATATCAGTGGGGCTTGAAGTACAGTAATTTGTCCATCATTCCAGTTGGAGAAATCATGGGTCATCCCTGGGCACCAAAATTTTAGGCAAATATATCCTATCAGTTAGTTATTGCTATAACAGCAAACATTCATTTTTGTTCACAAGCCTGTGGGTCACCTGTCCTGGACCAGCCTTGGCTTGTATCTCTCTCCCATCCCTCCAACAGGCTAGCCTGAGCAGGCTTTCACCATGATGTCAGGGGTCCAAAACAACTCGTGGGAACACAACAGCACTTTTTACAGCTTCTCCTTTTATCATGGCTGCTAACACCTCATAGATCAAAGCAAGTCACACGGCCAAGTCCAAATGCAAGAGACGGATTAACAGGCTCCATCTTTTTAGTGAGGGGAACTGCAAAGTGACAGAGCAAAAGGAGAAGTAAAGAACTAGAACCACCGGTGCAGTTAATTTGCAGGCAATCATGCACTTTTGAAAAGAGAATTCTTTGAGAAGTGAGCACTGACCACAGAGACGATCATTGCCAATTATATATAGTATCGGTATTCCCGAAATACATTCAACCAAATAAATGTTATACAACTTCTCATTTCTACCTGTTGCCAAAAAAAAAAAATTTTTTTTTTCTCTCTTTCCATTTTAAGTGGGTCCATTTCTGCCAGAATTAACATTGACAGAGTGATGTCGTTTCTTTTCTGGAGCAAAAAAAGAAAAAAAGAAAAAAAAAGCAGTTTTCTGTTGTCAAGGGGGAAAAAAGAAGAAAGAAAAAAATAGAGCCAGAAAGAGAGTGTTATTCTATTACCTTGGGAATCACTGCATTGTATCAGCTGAAAAGAATGTAAAAACACACTTCCTGAGTCAGATGGAGGGAGAGGGCCAGGAATGGACAAAGCGACACAGGAATGTACTAAAGAAAAAATTCTGTTCCAGTTCCTGGAAGATTAATAAAAAAGAATTTTTTTTTTTTTTTCAGATTTGACATGCACAAATATTCCACAGAAATCCCAGGTATTGTGGCCTCCTCTCTGAAGCATGCGGGCCCAAAACTATTTCGACAGGGACATTTTCACATAGGCAGTTTTATAGGAGAGCTCACATCACCATGTGACAGGTACTAGAAATCCCATTTTACAGATGGGGAAACTGAGGCTCAGAGGAATCTCCTGGCCCAGATTGTATGGCTAAGAAATGGCTGTCCTCTTGCTCTTGGCTTGGTGCTTTTATTTTATTTTTTAAATTTCAATTCCAGTATAGTTAACATACAGTGTTATATTAGTTTCAGGTATACAATGTAGCAATTCCACAATTCCCCACATCACCCAGTGCTTACCATGACAGGTGCACTTCTTGATCCCCATCCTCCCACCCACTTCCCCTCTGGTAACCATCAGTGTGTTCTCTATGGTTCAGAGTCTATTTCTTGGTTTGTCTCTTTTTTCCCTTTATTTTCTTAAATTCCACATGAGTGAAATCTTATGGTATTCGTCTTTCTCTGACTTATTTCGCTTAGCATTATACCCACTAGAGCCATCCATCCTGTTGCAAATGGCAAGATTTCTTTCTCTTTCATGGCTGAGTGATATTCCATGGTATATACATACCACATCTTCTTTATCCTTTCATCTGTCAACGGACACTCGGGCTGCTTCCGTTAATTCAGCTATTGTAAATGATGCTGCAGTAAACATAGGAATGCACATACATTTCTGAATTCGTGTTTTGGTATTCTTTGGGTAAACACCCAGCAGTGGAATTACTAGATCATAGGGCAATTCTATTTTTAACTTTTGAGGGAACTCCAGTTTTCCACAGGGGCCGCACCAGTTTGCGTTCCCACCAACAGTGCACGAGGGTTCCCCTTTCTCCACGTCCTCACCAACACTTGTTTCTTGTGTTGTTGATTTTAGCCATTCTAACAAGTGTGAGGTGATAGTTCTCTTGCCATTCTACCTTCTAGCTTGCCATTCATGATTTCAGAAGACAGAATGTGTGTGGGATACAGTGTGACTGGAGGATGGTAAAGAAAACCCCCAAGGGGTCAGCAGGAAGCTGGGCATGATTCCCCCTGCTTGAGCTCTTACAATTCAGGTTAAATTGAGGGTCACTCCGCAAGTGCTGAACTTCCCAACATACAGGAAGCCCA